TTAGATAGATAGATAGATAATCAGTTTATTGTCCTTACATCAAATAGTTACATAAAATTTACAAAACAAAACGATATACAAAGAAGACATGAAATTTCAAAAACATTTGTCTCTATGAGACTGGCAAAGTAGCGGTGTCAGCGCGCGCAATGAGTTCAGACGTTCGATGGCGCCGAATAAGTAGCGGTGTCAGCGCGCGTAATAAGTTCAGACGTTCGATGGCGCCGAATTTTCCATGAAAGTATCCATGTGTTAAGGGAGACCTGAGATTAAGTCTTCTTAAGCCTTATTTTTTTTTTTTTTTTTTTTTTTTTTTTTTGGACATTCGAGAAGCCTAGCTCATCGCCATAATCGAATGGTGCGGAACCCCAGTCTCTATGCTTTTTTCGTCCCCCAAAGACCCTTAAAAATATGTTTAATCTTTTAACACTGATATGGAAATATTTTTTAACATAAAGCTGTATTAGAAGACTTTAAATGCATGGATTCCAAAATATTCATAATTATTGAATTTCTAATGTTTTTTCTTTGATAAATCTAGTAATATATTTAATCAATAAGAAGCGTTAGTGGTTTAGCGGTAAAATTCGACGTTGCCATCGTCGAGCCCCCGGTTCGACTCCGGGCTAACGCATATTTTTATTTTTTTTACTTCTGTAGGTGATTGCTATTATGCATCAAGCCCTTCAAACTTCGATAGGGATTATGTTAAATTTTGAATTCTAAAACCCTCCTAGTACTCTTAACAAGTGTGATCCCATGTGAGGTTGTTTAGCCAAGCTATCTTACTGTTGTTAATTTGGAGAGTTAGAAATAGCTAATTCCCTTCTTTTCGGTGAAATATCCCAGCATAGATTTTATGTACAAGAATAACACCTCGAGGCAGGGCAAGCAAAATACAAAAAAAAGAAAGAAAAAAAAAAAAAGGATATCGGTTTACAGTAAAAAATGGTTTTTTTCTTCAATATTTTTGTTTAAAAAAAAACAAATTCACTTGTTTTCTAGTTCTCTTGAAGTGCGAACCTTTTAGCCATCTGCTTAAGCTAGCAAAAAATAGTGATATAAGAGTCCCATCTTTCACGTCTACACAAAAGCTACATAACAAAACGGAAGTGACAGCACCAACAGCAATACCTAGACTTCAACTCCTTGAGACAATTCTTAGACAGTTCTTCTATCGGACATGTATCTGATGATAGCACCCTGACCGGTGATATCGACGGTCTTTTCGAACCAAGTGAGAAGAATTCCTCCATTACCGTTGGCCTGTCCCACAGGGGAGCCCATGCCTTTGTAAATGTACTTGATGAGGATGTCGCGCTGCTCAGTTGAAAGCGATTGAACAGTAGGTGTAATATTGTTCGAGCGGATAGTCGCCAAAACGTCAAGGACAGTCTGCAGGTTGACATTCTATGACCAAACTTAGGTTAGCATACATTAATTGTTTCACAGAGGCGTTATCCAGAAAGTGTTGTTCTTACCTTGATATCTTCGCTACCACCGTAAGGGGGATCGCTCAAACTCACAGCTAAAGCCCTTGAGTAGTCGCCACTAGATAGTAGCGAGCGAACCTCAGTAGCACGAGCTTTAATATCAGCATCTGAGACGGGAGGTAACTCAGGAAGCAAGTCTTGGATAGAAAGATGCTTGGAAGGGTCGTACTGGTCGACATTCAGTTTGCGAAAGTTTCCGTCCATTGTGATATAGTGTTATAACGATAAAAGAAATATGGCTTTATGAAATGAGTGATTGCAATTGAGCAAAAAAAATGATGAAGACTGCTTAGGAGTACTGTTTTCTCGTTTCGAAGCTGATTTTGTAGCAGAGAAGAATTATAATGATAGAAATTCAAGCAACAGGTGGGAAGTTTGTTGGAGATGTGCTGGTGTTTTCAAGTCGCTTAGTCAGACACTTTTGCAAAAGTGTGTTAAGTTACAAGTCATTTAGTCACGTAGCCAGATGGCTTTTGATTCCTAATAATTGAGCTCAATGTTTTACATACTGGTCGATAAAAAAAAGTTAAAAGATATAAAAATAAAAACAAAAACTTCGGTTACGGAAAGGACTTTGAAACATGAAATATGTTGTGTTAAAAAGGGTAGGAATATTTACATATGTATATAGCATTGGCACTGCAAAAAAATATATCATCAGTCAAGCCCAACTCTATAATATATTTTCTGTAACCAACGTGAGAGTGCTAAACCCAGCATTTAGAACAACTTTTTAAACGCACAATTCGAAAAAATACATATATATGTATGAATAACAATCTGAAATTGACAGTCAAAAAGTAAGTGAATAAATAAATAAAATAGTTACCGGAAATCTTTCACAGTAAGGGAGGGTTTTTGTAATATCTATGTTCAATCGACTATTTAAAAAAAAAAGGCTTATTTTTAAAAACATGAATTAGTTGGATAGCAAGTTATTGAAATCAGTAAAGTTGGGTTGTCGTAAAGTTGTCGTAGTCTTCATAAAGGTTCCATAAGGCTTAATTCAAGAGTTTCCGTTGTAATAATTGATTACCGTGGAAATGTATTGATCTTGATAATGTGTTAACGTGTAACTACATTTGATGGATTCACCTTTTTGCAAAAGATTGTAATTTGAGCTTGAACTGGCTCTCTTTGACCCGAAATGCAAGTTCCTGGTTTTGAAGCTTCAATGTTTGGTTTTCTTCTTCAAGTTTTCGAAGTTTTTTCTCAAGTTCCTCATTAAGATCAATAGTCTGTTTGAATTTAACATTCTTTAGATCGCGAGAACGCTTGGCATAAATTCTGTTTCGACGTTTGCGCTCTTCTTCCCTTTTGACAGAGTTTGAAGTGTTGGGTGTGCAATTTGAGGGAATGTTGGCCGAAGTGCGCATGTATTCAACGATGGTTTTCGGTATCTCCGGGCTAGTTTTCTTTTCTTTAATGTATGAAGACTGAGTGGAGTTTAATTGTTCTTCCTCAAAAAACTCAGAAAACTCCTGAAAAAGAGTGCAATCTAAATCTAATAACTCGTTATTATTTTTAATAGTTGATTTACTATTAGATTCCTTAATTTTTGAAAAGAATTCAACCTCAGCAATATCTAAAGTTTGAGACAACTCACCATTCAAAGAACTTTTGTTCACAGAGATATTATTAAGATCTTGAAAAAATGTAACCTTGGCAGATCCTGGCGATGATGCAGATTTAACAGAGAAGTTATTTTCTAGAAGAGAAACCTGGTTTTGAGGAGTAGGAATGGCTTGGTACTTTTCTTCTTCTTCGTCTTCTGCTTCATCCTCCAATCCTGAATCCAAAGGAGGAGGGGTATTGTCTTGACTGTCATAAAAAAATGGCCTAGTTGGTATATTGTTATTTCTAGGAAAAGGAAAAGAGTTAGAAGAACTCATCTTGATGAAATGCACAGACCGGCACGAATTTTAAAGAATCAAATTTTTGGTAAGCGAGCTTTTAAGGAAAGAAAAAATAATGGAATTTTATGTCCAAAGTGAAGTATTTAAATGACGAGGAAAAGAATGATGACAACATGAATCACGTCTGGAAAGATCCGAAGCTCGTACCGACGAATTCCATTTAAAATGGAATCATAAAAACGTGCTGATTATCTTGTATTTTTTATATGCTTTTGTCTCATCTCTGTTAAAAGATTTGCAATAGAGTTCTTTGTTCGCATGCTGTTTGGAGATTTATATAGAATTAAAACCTGTTGTGTAATAACTATCCAGAAGACCTTGAAGTTTGACATTTTAAAAATATAGATATCTTTTGTGGATGAAAGCAACCACTTCTTTTTATTCCGGCACTCTAGATCTTGGCTTTTTTATAACAACAAGGTATTATATTTTTAATAACTAATAGTTGTAGTATAGACCAAAATAAAAGTGCCAGACATATCGTTGTATGCTCGTTGTTGGTTGTAAACAGTTCTATATATTAACTTCTTTTCGAACTTTTTTTAACCTTAAACCCGAAGATGTATCCTTGGTGTTTGGTACTTCTAACGTCAGCCTTCTCTTTCCTTTCGGATCGAACTCGATCCAGGTTTTGTTGCCTTTACGGTAAGTTTTAAAGCCGCATTTTAGATATCTCATTATAGTAACTAGTCACAGCCATACTTGAAACGTGAAATCATTACTAGGTCTTACAATATATCAATGAATATAAGTCTTGTATTTCGGGCTTTATTAGGAATCAGGAAATTTTCTATTTAATTAAATATATGTAGTAGTATATTTGTGAATAATTAATTATTTTTTTTTAATTTATAATGCTCAATCAAATTTTGTGAATGTTTATAGATATACCCGGACCCATCAGGTCCTGATGTCGATTGGTTACTTCCAATTCAAATGTCTATTAAAAATGACTTCAACAATGGGGTAGAGCCAACTGTGCTCATGAGATCCATTTGGTGAACATTAGCAGCAATTCGTCGTTTACTGTAATCCTCTCTTCCTGAAAGAGTTCTGACAATTGCGGCTCCGGTTCCACCTTTAGAAGTTCTTACTCGGCTATCATCCTTGGCTCGCAGGCCTTTGCGACCGCAAACTCCGGTAACGTTCACAACACCGTTGGCTTCTAGTGCAGCAATGACATCCAAAAAATCAGGATAAGTGAGAGGTGCAAGCACCTTGTCCCTACCGCATGCTTGAATGTACCTGTCAAACAAGTTTGAGATCATAAGTTTGGCACCGTGTTTCTCACCAACTACCAGTACACAAAGCACTGCCTTTTGTTGCAAATTTAAGGAACGGACACGGGCAGCCATAGTACCACCGAATGCAATTGAACAAACCTTAGCCATATGAGTGATAGTCACCCTTGGGGCATCATCGAGAGTAAGAGCAGATGTGTTTCCCAAGCCACCAGCAATAAGCGCCTTTTTCCACCCTTGACCAGGACCTGCAGTGTCGCCAGTATGCTTTCTACGGACTTCTTCCTCTACCGTTTCAATCGCCCTTCTACAAAGATCAAAAGACTTTCTTAAATCGCCAGTGTTTGATGCAGTTTTTCTTGCACATAATTGAATAGCTGCAGGATGCATAAGAGGGATCGTATCACTTTCCTCCTTGACACCTCCAACCAGAGACCAAAGTCGATCCTCAATGATCTTTGCGATTTGGTCCGCCGTGTATGGCTTAAATGCGAGGAGTTGCGGTGTCAAACTATTGGACCTTAATCTGGGAAGAAATCTGTCAGTCAGGTCTAATGCGTTGGCAATGCCAAAAAGTACAAGAGTAGAATTAGAAGCGAACGCCCATTGAAATATTCTGAAAAGAACTTCCTGGTCTTTAGTCATAATATGGTCAAGTTCATCCAATACAATAACATGACGAGTTGTACTGTTTGTAGGTTGTTTCAAAATACGTCGTTCCAAGTCTTCAATAATCAGTCGTTTTGCTCTATCCGTCGTTAGTCGCTCACCATCACCAGAAATCATTTCTTCTTCTGCTACATCATTTTGATATTGTTCCTGTTGCAACAGAATTTCTTCTTCGGCCTCAAGATCCTCTCCTTGAGAAATTTCTTCGTGGATTTTCATGAAAATATCACTGGCGTTTTCAACAGTCATACAATTGATACTAGCAACCTTTACCACCAGGCCAGTACTCTGATAGTACTTGACTCGCTTTTCTAT